ATAAAATTCAACATTCATTTATGATTTCTTAAAGAAAACAGAATTTAGCAAACAAAAAAATATTTCTCACAAATCTAAGACTAGAAGGACATTTTCTTAATCCAATACAGACTGCATGCTAACCAACTTATGGATAGCATAATTCTTTTAAGATTTTTTTTCAATGTGGACCATTTTTAAAGGCTTTTACTGAATTTGTTACACTATTGCTTCTGTTTTATGTTTTGGTTTTTTGGCCAAGTGGCATGTGGGAGCCTAGCTCCCTGACCAGGATCAAACCTGCTCTCCATGCATTGGAAGGTGAAGTCTTAACCACGGGCACACCAGGGAAGTCTCAATAACATCACTCTTAATGGCGCAACATTACAAGCTCTCCATGTAAAGTCAGTAATGAGACAAAAAGGTTACTATCACTCCTGATGTTCAACATGGACTTCCCTGATGGCTCAGATGGTAAAAAAAAAAAAAAAAGCCTGCAATGCAGGAGACTTGGGTTTGATCCCTGGGTTGGGAAGATCCCCTGGAAAAGGGAATAGGGACCTACTCCAGTATTCTTGCCTGGAGAATCCCACGGACAGAGGAGCTTGGTGGCATGGAGTCACAAACCGCAAAGGATGGGGATGGAGAGCTTCTGGGTAGGTGGCCATGTGGAGGTTCCGGGAGGGTGATGTGCCTAAGGAGAGCCTGGAAGGCCCATGTACACCCTCCCCCCACGCCTTGTCCTTATCTCTCTTTCATTTGGCTGTTCCTAAGTTTTATCCCTACGATAAACCGGTGATAGTAAGTACACTGCTTTCCTGAGATTTGTATGGTGCTAAGTACAAACTGACACTTATCATTGTCACTAGCCATATACCTCTATAAGCATTAAACCATGTGCTCTTATAACTGCTGATTTTCCATATTTCCATGAAAGGAGTTCAGGGAGGAAAGCAGAAATGAGGCACTCTGTGCTCTGGGAAAAACTGGCAGAACAGTCTTCAGATAGATATTTTCAGGAGCCGATTTTATGAGCCCAATTCTTATACATCCTCATATCTAGAAAAGCACTGAAATCCTTTATGATGATGACTGCTCCTCATGACTAGCAGAAATCTTCTGCAAAAAATATGTGCCTGATTGCATGTATTCACCCTTCATCAAAATCACATATAGAGTGACCTTCTCCCCTGCCTCTTTGAAGCACTTTCTCAGAGGCAGCTGAGCGTCTCCCAGGCTATAGTCCTCACTGTGCCCCCAAATAAAACTTAACTCACAACTCACATTGTGCATTGTTTTCTAAGTAAACAGCACCATTCTAAGCAAACTATTGAACTCAGAAGGGGGTCACTGGAAACTACTGGTCAAAAGTATGGGAGGCCCAGACTTGTAATTGGCATCTGAAGAGGGGGCAGTTCTGAGGGGTCTGTGCTAACTCCAGGTAGTTAATGCCAGAATTGAACTAAATTGTAGGACATCCAGTTGGTCCACAGAAAATCAGAGAATTGAAATATGTGGAAAATCCACACATGTGTTGTCAGTAGAGAGACAGTTTTCCTTTCATCACAGAAACTTTATATAAAAGTATCTACAGATAAACCATGAAAATAAATGAGAGTTTAGTGAGATATACAAAAACAAATAATGTTCCTATACACCAGCAACAACAGGAAAACATAATAAAAAGATGCCGTTAACAATAGCAATACAGAGTATAGGATACTTTAAAATTCATTTAATAAAGATATATAAGAAAAGCATGCCAAAAATTACAAAATTCTATTGAAGGACATTAAGAAAGAACTAAACACAGCTATAACATGTTTGTGGGTGAGAGGACGTTATCATAAAAGGACAAATTTTCATAATGTATCTGTAAAACATCTGAGTAATTTCAACAAAGTAAAACAAGGCTTCTACATTCCTGAAATATATTTCAAATATATTTGAAAGAGCCTGGTGTGACAAAACAATTCTGAAGGTGGAATACCACAGAGCAGTTAAACCAATCAACATGGATAAACCTCCAAAAAAAGAAGAGAAGTCAAAGGGAAACCACATGCAGTATAACAAGTACAATTCATGTCAATTTTAAAAACACTACCTCCAAAAAACCTAAACACACCCTGCATTTGGCAGGGCGAGACCACAGAGGGAGGGTGGGTGACATAGGGACATGGGGGCTTTAAGAATGCCTAAAATACATTTTTTTTTTTTCAGAGAAACAAGAAAGAACACAAAAAATAGAGCAAAATGTTAGAATCTGATCACAAAAAGGAATATCTACAGTCTACATAATTGGGAAATTAGGTAAAAATTGAAATGTTTTGCCCTTATTTTAATGAAGAATTAACCTTATGCCCAGCTTGTTTGGGAGGCATACAAGTCTGTAAGAAAATTCCCTGCCAAGCCAGAGAATGCAAACTCAGCCACTTGGATTCCTTTCTTCCAGTGCAACACTGACCCAGGCACAGTTGGGATCATCTTCACATCTGGTTTGTGGTCTGAGCTGGTTAATGGTTAACCTGCATCACTGAAGCTTAAGCTCACACTAGTAATTGACTTGGGGGAAAAATAGTTAGCATTCATTCAACATCAGTGCTGGGAACATCCCTGTCTGTCATACAGAGTCCCATCAGTGTTCTACAGGCTTGATATGTTTATTAATAGAAATAATAAAAGAAACACTGTCTGAAACAAAAACATACCCGTCTTAGGACATGATGAAAAGACATCTAAAACCCTATGTTGCTTTGGACAGAACCAGTGCTCCTTGGCCCCATCACCCACTGCAGCCGCTGGACTCAAGGCCAACGACACTTTCATTTTTCCAAAAATCAAAGCCTCCTACAAAGGATGACTATTTGTCAGACTTGAAAATATTTCCAAGAATATGCCATGGGCTCAGAAGACAACTTAAAAAAAAAAGGATTCCGGAAATGTTTGGGGCAATAGCCACATCAATGGAAGCATCAAAGGATTACATCTATCCCAAGGTCACTACTTTGAAGAGAGTAAAATCCATTTATACTGTAAATCTGATTTTTTTAAAACTCAGCAGCAGCAACTAATGTCACTCCTCTCCTGACTGTCAATGTCACCTAACATGGGAGTCAATACACCACACAGCTAGAAGCAACGTTGAAGCCAGCGCTATAAACGACACCACATCCTTACAAAGAGTGTGCCATTCAACACAGAGCCCCGCAGTGGCTGTGAATTATTGCAGATCCTCGCAGCATCCAGAGGGGGGATTTACTTAGGCATTTTGCACAGAAAATGGAAACGTTGTTAATCAAACACTGAACCCCATGGGTCAGTAGAAAGGAAACACTATTTTCACAGTGAGAGCGGATCCAGCAGCTGCGAGAAGGACAAGACACCAGGAGGAAACGAGGGAATGTCAGAGGAATCAGAGAACTTGATTGGCTTAGAGGGAGGCATGCACCAAGACCAACTGCATGATTTCTGAAGCTGTTCACTCTCAAGTCCGGTAAAAATCAAGAGAAAAGCCTACAAGTCCCCAACCCACTCTGAGGACAAGAGCCCCCTTGTCCATCACCAGTTCAGCACAAACCTTGCATTCTGTTGGAAACATACATTGCAATACATTCAACAAAGCAGAGATCTGTTTGTTCGTAAATATTTAGTTCACAAGTATTTTTTTTCAATATTTATATATGGAGGTCTGCCAGGTCTTAGTTGCCACATGCAGGGCCCTTGTTACATCATGTGGACCCTTCAGTGCGGCAGACTTTCTAGCGGTGTTGCCTGGGCTCTGGGGCGCAAAGGCTTAGTTGCCCCACCATGTGGGATCTTAGTTCCCCAACCAGGGATGGAACCCTCATCCCCTGCATTGCAAGGTGGGTTCTTAGCCACTGGTCTACCAAGGAAGTCCCACATTTATTGACTGCTTACTATACTGAGTGCTAGACTGATATACTAACGGTGACCTGAAACAGCCACGTCCCTACCCTCATCAAGTGTAGGGGTAAATTAACTACGCTGTTCACAAAACCAATGACAAATTTCTTCTGAGAATGCTTTAATTCTCCCCTCATTTGTCATGATAGAGGCCAGCCTACTAAAGGGCTCAAACTAACATTTTAAATCTGCAAGATTACACAATATTGCTATAAACGACCACATGTTGAGATTGCCATGTTCATGGTCCCTGGGCATTAGACCTGGGAAACTGAGTCTTTAATATATAACTTATCTTACTGAAGAATGTAACCACACTTAATTTTACAGGAGCTATTGTATGATTAACTTGTCTTACTCCACAAGGGACAGACGCTGACAAGAATGCTAAAGTTTCTTATTTACTTACTCTATGCCAAGCACTATTAGGTATTTCTACATAATAACTCAGTTTCACAAGATACAACCATGTGGGTATTGATTTTATCCCCAGTTTACAGATGATAAATTGTGCTTTGAACCTGCTCAAACTTACACAGCTAGCAAACATTTAAGTCACAATTCAAACTCTAGTCCGACATAGAGAACAAACATATGGATACCAAGGGGGAAGCGAGGGTGGGATGAATTGAAAGGTTGGGATTGACAATATATACACTATTGATGTTGCTACTATGCATAAAATAAAAAGGGGCTTCCCAGATGGTGCTAGTGGTAAAGAACCTGCCTGCCAATACAGGAGACATAAAAGACCCAGGTTCGATCCCTGGGTTGGGAAGATCTCTTGGAGGGGGGCACAGCAACCCATTCCAGAACTCTTGCCTGGAGAATCCCATGGACAGAGGAGCCTGGGGGGCTACAGTTCACAGGGTCACAAAGATTTGGATTTGACTGAAGTGACTTAGCACACATGCATAAAACAAATAACTAATGAAAACCTGTGGTATAAATCAGAAAACTACTCAATACTCTCTGGTGGCCTAAATGGGAAGAAAATCCCAAAAAGAGGGGATATATATAAATAGATAGCTGATTTACACTGACGTACAGTAGAAACTAACACAGAAGTATAAAGCAACTATACTTCAGTAAAAATTAATGAAACAAATTCTGGTCCAAGCTCTTCACCACATATAAAACTGCCTCAGAGACAAAAGAGATGGATGTAAAATCTGATGACCACACTTAAATCCTTATACACATGAGCCTCATGCAGAAAGGAAGATGGCAGAAGCTGACAACTGGGAAGCAATAAATGTTAGGAAGGTAAACAATCTGCATGGGATGATGGCGAGGGGTAGTGGGTAGGTGGAAGATTAACAGACTTGGTCATTAAAATACCTTGGAGGGGAATTTCAGAGTGGCAAGGGTAACAGTGGGTTTTCTGTGGGATGCAGTGGATGGGTGATGAGGAAGTGGAGGCAGCCAGCAGAAGGGACTAACTTTAGGCTTGGCAGGAAAATAAAGGAAACACAGAATTCCAGCTCCAAGAGAAAGCAAATCTAAGCAAAACGATAGTTCTTCTATTTAGTGCTAGAGAAATCTGAACATCCTTATAGAAACTGGTAGAGAGAGGAAGAAATGCAAGAATGAAAAGCAGAAAATAATGTTCTAAAAGAAAGAGGAAAGGCTAGTGAGGGGACCCTATAAAAGAAGGATAGATGATGTTTTAATAAAAGGGGGGGAGAATTTTTTAATTAGGTAGAAAGGAGATCAAATAAGAGAGATCCTATTTGATCACCCTGAGATTACCAGGGAAATAGGAATCAAGGTCATCTGCCAAGACTGAAGGAGATTTGAAGAGAGGAAAAGGTTCTGATGATGACCACAGGAATCAATACAGGGTGTGTGTATGTATTTGTGTGTGTGCACCCGCATGCACCCACACATGAGCGCACACACCCTCTGATTAAAATACTTCTCTAAGAAACCATAAATAACTCAAGGAAGTCTACTTCTAGTATATATTTTAGGTTTCTCTCCCACATTAAACCTATCTTAGCCTAAATGGTTGCTATCTTTGTATATAACTCTATTTTGAGATAGTGTGCAGAGGAGGGAACAATGTAAAATAAGAAAAGTTCATTTGTCTCAACTTCTGAGGCAATAATATGATGCAGAGGCAAGACTGAATAGAGAAATGTTAGTATCTTATAAGGCCCTGAAATACTTAGTAAATAATTTTTTAGAAGGAAAAAGGTTTTATTTCAATGTAAGAATAGTCATCATCACCAAGGCATAAGAGAGACAGAAAAAAACCAGGGGACCTAAGAAATAACAGAGAAGCATGGTCTGATGGCCACACACTAATTCTTGTGCATATGGGTCTTCTCCAAAAAGGAAGGTGTCAGAAGTGATAACTGTAAGGCAGAGGACTGCCCCCTGAGACTGGTTCTTCCAGACAAAGGAAAACGAAGGGAAGCCTGCTTCCTTAACCCATGCCAGGATTGTGATTTCTCCCACAAAGCAGCCAGATGGGCTATAAATTTCTTCAGAGGTAGAAATATCAATTCACTCAACAAATATTTCTTTAACACCTATGTCCCAGACACTAAGCTAAATGCTGGGGAAGGGAAATGACTGGCTTCCTGTATTAGTTTATCTGTGGCTGTGTGGATTAAAACTACTCAAACTCAGTGGCTTAAAAATAACAACTGTTATCTCACAGTTTCGGAGGAGGTGGCTCTGGCTCAGGGCCCTGTGTTGGGGGTCTCCAAAACACACCCTCCCCCAGGGTCAGTGATCACTAGAAGGATACACAGGACTCCTATAGTATTATTCTCAGCTCTGATTTATTACAGCTAAATCAGCAAAAGGTCTGGAGTCAAATCCATAGGAAACCAGGCACAAGCTTCTGAGTCTTCTCTCCACCAACAAGCTTAATTCCCCAGCATTGTAGCATGACTACAATTTGTGAAATACTGTCTACCATGCAAGCTCACTAGAGACTTAGTGCCCAAGGTTTTTATTGGTGGCTGTTCTCATACCCACCGTCTGTCTAGCACATACCAAAATTCCAAGCATCCAGATATTAATAGAAGCAGGTGTCTACAATAAAAAAATACTGCTTGCACAGTTTAGGCACAGTAAACCATTCTCACCGTCAATTAGAAAATGGTGGGTCGTGGTGGTGTTGGTGTAGTCGCTAAGTCATATCTGACTCTTGCAATCCCATGCTCTGAAGTCCACCAGGCTCCTTTGTCCTTGGGATCATTCTGCCAAGAATACTGGAGTGGGTTGCCATTTCCTTCTCCAGGGGATCTTCCCGACCCAAGGATCGAACCCATGTCCCCTCCATTGCAGGCAGATTCTTTACTGCTGAGCCAGCAGGGAAGCCCCAGAGAACGGCAGAAACCCTCCCTAAATCCAAGCTCTCAGGTGCCAGCCAAGAGCCAATCTTGCAGACAGAGCTTTCTAAGGATAGCAGTGTCAGGTCTGCCACGTGAATTCTTTTATACGCAGTATCCCATGAGGTTGCAGTCAAGGTGTCAGCTAGGGTGTCCTCATCTGAAGTATTGACTGGAGCTAGAGGTATGCTCATAAGAAAGTTTTCACACGTGGCTACAGGCTAGGAGTTCTCTCCTCTGTGGGATTCACAAGGCTGCCAGCACATCCCCAACATATGGCAGCAGGCATTCCCCATGGTGAGTCATCCAAAAGAGCAAGTACCTGACCCAAAGCCCTAGGCTTCATGAACTTATCTCAAAGTGACACAGCATCACTTCCACTGCTGGTCACAAAGACCAAGTCTGGTACAATGTGGGAAGAGGGGGTGCCAAGAGTCAGGGGTCATGCTGGGCTGTCTTGGAGGCTGCCTACCACAGCCCAGCCTCTGGCTCCCAATGATTCACATCTCTCCTACCTACAAAATACACTCACCCCTCCCATGGTCCCTAAAAGTCTCATTCCATCACAGCATCAGTTCCAAGTCCAGACCCTTGTCATCTAAATCAGGTCTAGGTACTGATGAGACTCCTTCACTGTAGCCCCTAACATATGGTTCTTCTCAATCTGTAGACATGAGTCACGATATCAACACACACTCAACATGCAGTGGTGGCAGAAGCAGAAGGTAACCCCTATAAACACTCCTGCTCACAAACTGGGGGGATGGAGAACACACAGGGGTAGCAGTTCTGAATCCTAAGCAAATGTTTTGAGTTCCTTGATTAGGTTTAGAATTAAGGTCCTAGAATAGTTCTCTATAACCCTTAACTCCACCCTCTGGACTTTCGGTTTTGGCCTCTCTTGCATCCTTCCGTTTTCACGAGGGTAAAACATATCTGCAGCTGGGTAGTCTCCTCAGCTTGACGCCTACCTGTTGATCCCTGGGGATCCAAAGACCTCTCCATTTTGTTCTCTGCTTCTTTCATTTCAATTCGATGGCATCTTTCCAAGTATGACTCAAGAACTTAGAAGGTCTTCTGTGACTCCTTTTCGGCTTTATTCCATTAGGCTGAAGCCCCACCCACCAATCACTTTGCATTGGGTCCTTCCTCACCTTGGGTTTTTGCTGGGGTACCATGTCCTTGAGGCTACAAGAAACACTGTTGTTTGATCTAGAGGATCTGTGAAGGCAAACCCTTAATCTCTTTGGAGGGCTTTTTGGCTGGCTGCTAGGTACTGTGAGACATAATCTTTGATTCCTCAGATCTTAAG